CTCCTTTAAGTCCGAAATAAAAGGTGAAAGTTGACAAAGAACAAAACGGTATATCTTAAATCGTTAGTATAAGCTTTGATTCATTTTTTCACTTAAGCTTATCATGAATTTCTATTCGATCAACTGATGACTTTCATCGAAACTCAATACTGTTCCTTGTTTTTTTGACTAGGTTTGTTCTGACATTTTTCATGTTTCATTGTAGATTATAATAATCATACTCTGTTTATTGTTTCTACACAAGAAATTATAAAAAAATAAAATGTACAAATTATTGTCGACAATGTTATTTGGATAGGTAAGTTGCTTGTCCTTTTTCTTGTTGCCATGGATTATAACGAATTTCTGAATGATTCTGATACCGAAGATGAAATCACGTTTCGCGGTTGAACGATGGTTATTTTGGTGGAAAAATTCTAGCATTTCTGTAATGAACTGAAGGGATAGTGTTGCCGCCATTGTCAACAATGATGCTTATTTGGAGAAAGAGATAGAACAGATAGTCACTCAGTAGGATATCATGAGATAGGAATAAGGTTAGTACTCGGCCAAACGTCACACATATTGAAGACGAAGGAAAAGGCAACGACTAATTATTGTTAGGGCTGCGAACCCAAAGTAGAACCTTCTTAAGCGACGAAAAGTTCCATCAATCAACAGAAAAAGTCATGAGTCAAACTAAAACAATGCCTTTACAATATAATGAGCGCAGCAGATAATTTAATGTTTCGTCATTCAATTAAAAATTCAAATAATTTTTCGGTACAACTAAATTGAATCAACTGAAAATTCGTCGTCTGAATTTCGACAATATCCAAGTTCCAGTAGAATTTGGACAGTATTGTTAATTTTTCACAGTTGTCGAAATTCTTTAGGAATTACGACAATGTCAATTATTGCTGGGTATTTTATTTTCCGAATTCCATCGGAATTCAGACAATATACGTAGTCCTTGAAACTATAGTATTCGGTGGAAACACAAACTTCCTCATTTCTAAGTTGATGCAAAACTAAGAATTACTATTTGGGGACTAAATACCCCTCAGTATTTAATCTCTAACTCTTTTCTTCTTTCATCCAAAAGATATGATTTTATCATAGAAAGATGTACCGTGAAACTCTCTACAAGGTGACCTATTTTATTTTGGCTAAATACTGTTCATCGTACTTTAAATCGAAATGGTTTCACTTGAAAAAATTATGAGTACTTTCCAAAAATAATTATTTTATAATTTTTCCTAATATCGCTTTATTTGCTATGTCTTAGTGACCTTTGTTGAAATAGCATTTTAATTCCGATAATTACCGATTCAACTCAAAATAGGAAGCCTAGGCATCTCTGGAGCATTAGTAAACACGGATTGCTTCTCAACTAAAACAAACTATCAACGAAAGTTACTAAGAAATGATAAATAAAGCGATATTAGAAAAAACTATAAAATAATTATTTTTGGAAAGTACTCATAATCTTTTCAAGTAAAATCATTTCGATTTAAAGTACGATGAACAGTATTTAGCCAAGATAAAATAGGTCACCTTGTAGAGAATTTCACGGTGCATCTTTCTATAATAGAATCATGTCTTTTGGATGGAAGCAAAAAAAGTGTTAGAGATAAAATATTGAAAGGGTCATTTATTCTGCCGCATCTGTTATAAGTCCCAGAGAATTTTAATTATTTAACATTACCATTTTCAACATGACATGAGTTTACAAAAAGAAAATACTCCGATTGTTTTCTTAAGAAAAACATCCCCAGAGATCATACACGAAGATTGCGTATCTGAACAGAATATCATTAATCAAACATAGTCTTCTTAGTCACATTTTTCGTGTCATATCATAGTAGTGTTCTCGAATACATTAATATCCTAACTGTATGCGAAATTTACGAGCAATTTTGATCTTTTCTAAGGTGTTTTTTCGAAAAGTTCAGTTTAAAAAGTATTTCTTCCATCTTCCGGAATGAAGAATATTGCTGTGATTTTCAAATTTTATAAGAAGTGCTCTATGCACCTTGTTGGAAAATGTCTACAACAATCAATTTTTCCAATAGTGTCTTCACTATTGAAAATGTTTAGAACACATTCGCACAGCGACTTCATAGCAGTTCTGACGTCTTTTCCAAAACTTGATCGATGAGTTAACTTTACTATACACAAGAAAAGCTTTGGAGTTTCTTAGATGAGAATATGAACGAGTTTGTTGGCAAATCTTTGAAGTACTAAAAATCATATCTCTAGTAGAGAAAAGAGAAAATTCAATTAATTGATTGTAGTTCGCATACAAATGATTCACAGAGGAGTCTCCTTTCTTATTCTCAGCGTAACTTCTTGTTTTGAAGTCAACGAATAACATAACTGATATAGCTGACATTGCTAAAGAATTCTTTTTCAAAATACTGTTCTATTTTTAGAAACGCAGGGTCA